TTTGATTACAAATCTGGTTTGGAAGATTTTAACTCGTCAGAGGAGGTTAATCACCAGACGGCGAGTCCTGAGCACCTTTTAGACTGTTTAGTCTGTTCGGCAGCTCGCTCCCAGCTGCCGAACAGTCTTCCAGTTTGAGGAGCATTAACCTTTTGTACTTTATCCTTTGCATTCCATGCGTGGGTTGATTTTAAGCAGCGTGCACACGCGCTGGCGTCTGTCGGCTGGGAGTCGTCTGTGTTCCCCAGTTCTCTGCAGTTCTTTAGGCTCCGCTCCAGTCTCTTTCTGTTGTGTGGGGAGCAGAGTTTGTGCTGCTGCTGCTGTTGCCTTTGTACTGACTGAAGATTCCTGCAGGGGTGTGGCTGAGATCCGCCGGGGGTAGTTTCTGGTATGGAATTCCTTCCGATCGCAGCTGCAATCTGAAACGGGTTACAGTTCAGCTTTAAAGAGAGAGACCGGAGTTCGGGGCAGTGAGGTCTAAGCCGTTTTCTGGCACGAGGGAGTTTAGTCTAGTTCAATACGGTCGGTCGCTGACTCGCCTGACTGAACTCACGACCCACTCTGCAGTGATTGTTGCTTTCCAAAGGTTTCTGTGCTCGAGGTGAGGAGAGTCTGTGCTGGGAAATGGGACATTTTCCTTTGGTGTCCAGCGTCTGTAACTAACTCTGCTCTATCGCAGCCCCTTCACCTGTTGCCCTCAGCAGTTGCTGTTCCCTGTACCGTGTGTTCTCCATTCACTGCCCCTGATATCCGAGCTTCGATTCCGTGCTGTTCCTAATCCTTCACTGCCTGTTTACAATGATGTGCATATATCCTGCAGGTTCCTCCCCCCTTTATGTGGAAATGTTTGAAACCCCCGGTCTCTGATGCTGGACATGGCAACTACGTGGGACTATGTACAAGATATACTCACACTCTCCTTTGCTCCATTTTACAGAATATCATGTGAGGCACTTTGAGACAACCCTCTGATTGGAAAGGCACTGTATCAAATGTAGTAGCAATAATGATCATACTTACATTTGTTATAGCCCTTATCACATTGTTGAGACGTCTCAAAGCGCTTCACAGGATATACTGTAAAGTGGATTGACTGTATTTTGTGGGCAAAATCAAGTGTAAGGGTTATTATTGATGTCCCTTCTTTCCCACCCTATTTGCCCCATGTTCTCTTCCGTCTCTGTGTTGAGCGCTGAGATAGGTTTTATTCCTGGTTTGAATGGCCTCTGTAGATTTTTGTGGAGGGGGGTGGTTCCACATCAGAGTTTGTGTCCAGGAGAGTCAGTGCTGAATCCTTGTCACTAGTCTTCTGAATGTTCCGCGAGTTCAACAAAGCGCCCTGTGTTTGCTGGCCTTCCGTCACCAGCCCCACTCCAGCTACAGTGCAGCAGAGCTACAGTGAGAGTCTATCTCTGGAGGTGACAGATTGACACCAGTCACTGTAATCAGCACTGGCACACTCTCTGCTTTCATCAATCGCCTCGGAGGATATTTAAAGACTGCGGCAAGCTTCATTTGTATCAAAAACTGTTTGTGCATCTACTTTTCATCCCCTCCAATTTCTCCCATATTTTCTTCTCCTCTCCCCACCCCTCCCCCACACACAAACATGAGCCCATGTTCTGCCCATATTCTGTAATAGCTATCTGAAGATACGTTTTTTTATCCAGACTCCACTAAGGCTGTTGCTTCTATTTGTTGCTGAGGAGGACAAGACTACTGGATATGAAGTTAATCGCGGACATGGCAGGGGGAATAGGACAAATCTTTCAGCATTGAAGCATTTATATAATAGAATATTGGACATTTTTGTGTTTGAATATTGAGGCAGAGGGTTTGGAGAGTATGAGGCTGGGTGAGTAGAAGCCTCCATGTATCGTATCCAGTACTGTAGTGATAGAAAATCAAGAGGTGCTGATTGATGGCTGTTTTCCATTGCTCTGCAGGACTCTGTGACCTTGTTGACTATGTTCCAGTTGAGGTATCAGACTATAGGTGAAGGCTTCCATTGGTCTGGAATCTCAGTGCCCATGCATGTGGTTTGTGATAGCAAAGCTTTAAGAAATGTGGAAAAATAACAATGTTATTACCTGGGTCATTTAGCAACTCATCAACAGATGTTTGTGAAGGTCACACTGCCAGTATCTGAGTTGTATCCAGTGAGCTGCTGAGTTCCCTGACATGGATGATCCTAAGTTGAGTTAAATTTATCTCATTCTGGGTGTCTAGTTATCTAGTGACACCTGCTTCAAAGTACATTTGTGGGTGTGGGGTAAGGACAGGAGGTGGTGGCTTCACCCTCCCTCTCTCAGCCTTTTGAGGCTCACAAATGAATTGCCACTTAAGCAAGGCATCAGAAGGTGTCCATAGACCAGGGTTCGGGGAATTAACTTATTGCAACACATGTTCCTCATCTTGAAGTGATTTTGTTGAGACTGGCTCTAGAGTAAATTTAAAGCAAGTGAATATTTGCTGTCATTTCAGCTTCTCATCCCAAAACTGTTTTATTCAAATTGCACATTTGCAACGTGTGTGGTTTTTAAGAAAATTGGAGATTGTAATTTAGCTGTCAAACATCTATGTAACATGTTACGGAGACATTTATGGGATCCTGGCTCTTTGAAGTTCAAGGGGCACACAAGAGGGTCGTATCCAGTGAAGACACTAACTATAGTGCCAGGCCACTTAATGCTTTATGGCATTGTTGCCTCTGGCTCAGTTGTGTGTGGTACTGAACCATGTCAATCCCTAGTGCTCATTTAGCTGATCTCTACAATTGACCTCGAAGCCTGGACGAGGGAGAGAATATCGGCTTTGCCGATCCTGATCACTGTCGAAGGAGTGGTTTGGGAATGACAATTAATTGTCAGATACTGCACCTCCATCACCCCTGTACTGTAGCTCAGTGGTTAGAGCACTCGCTTTGCAAGTGAGAGACCTGAGTTCAATTCCAGGCAGAGGGCGAAACCTTGGGCAAGTTTCCTTACTCCACACAGAGCCTAATAATAATCCCTCCAAAACCCCCAAAAATAATAAATTGGTCATTTTCAATCCACGACTGTTTGTGGGACATTGCTGTGTGCAATTGGCTGCCGCGTTCGCCCACAAATATACAGTCAATTCACTTTACAATATTTTCTGTGAAGCGCTTTGGGACGTCCTCCCGACGTGAAAAGCTCTATATCAAATGCAAGGATTATTATTACTCCACCATTGAACTCTGTCCCCACTCTCTGGACCTCTGGTTGGTATAACAGTTGTCCTTGCAGTGACTGTACCACTAATCACGTAAAGGGTTAAAATCCTGTTGCTGTGATATTGTTTCTTTCCCTCCCCTTCGGGAAGGAGGAGAATGAAACAATTTTCAAGAAAAAGCTTTGGGCAACATTAGATGTCTCCTTAATACATGGCTGCTTCTGAGCTGGGCTGAGGGAACAACGCCAGACTTCCACCCATCCCCTTCCCCCCTCTTCTCTCAGAATCCTCCAGATGAGGGGGTAGGGTCCTCTGTGGAGATCAGGAGGCAGTCTTGAAGCTTTGCTCTCGCTTCACATACTATCAGTTTAGAAAGTACAGCTTTCTGACTTCGGAGCACAACCCATCAGTGCCGTGACGTGACGAAGGGAGATGTTTGTGGTGCATTTTGTGGGGATTCTGGAGAATTACAGGCTGTAATTAGTGGTGCATTCCAGGTCACTGTGTACAGGCTGGAGATTAGAACCAGATGCACAAGTCTGAGCCCTGCTCTGCTGGCAATTGTGGCATATTGTGCCAACCTATATGTCTGGTTAGAAATGCACATCCCAACTGGTCCTGTTTAACTGAATTCACACAACACAAATCTACATTTATACAGCGTCTCTCTTGTCAGGAGGATGGACGATCCAAGGCACTTGACAATACTTACTTGGCACCCAAGCTGGGGGTGGACTTTGCAAATGGTCAACTAAGCAGATCAAATGCTAAGGTGTATCTGAATTAAATTCCAACCTTCTATAGATCATCAGGGAGCTCCTGTTTGGAATATTGTGGAGTTTGGGGCATTCTGTTTTGCAAAAGAGCATTGATGGTGGTCGAGTCTGAAAGTTGGAGCTGTGAGCTTTGGGGCAAGACTCACAGAGCTGAACTCTTACTTAATCTAAAATGAGTGAAGCTCAACACAAGCTTCAGGACTCTAGGGAGCTAAGGGAGGGCTTCAGCTATACAGACCAGGAAAGTCCTGGGATTGTATCTTGGCTGGTCTGTGACAAGTGAACTGTCCTTGACCAGGCAAGAGGTTCTATAATTGATCTAGAAACACAGAAACAGGAGTAGGCTATTCAGCCCCTCGAGCCTGTCCCACCATTCTATTAGATCATGGCTGATCTGTAGCTCAACTCCAATTACCTGCCCTTGCCTCATATCCCTTGATACTCTGACCTAACAAATATCTATCCACCTTGGATGGCAGGATAATATCTGCCACCTCTTGAGGTGGCAGATATTATCCTGGCCTAGATCTGTGCCTTATGTTAGGGAAAGAGAACTAGCAAAGTTCATGATTGTTAGCCAGGATTTCTTCATCTCCCCCCTCTTTCTGCTGCAGGTACCTGACCACCTCTGTCCCTTGGGATGGTTTTGATTACAATGCTCTTGTGGCTGAATGGCGTATGGATTATTACCCATTTTCTCCTGAGTCAGCCCCTCATTGTTTGGTCTCAATTCACTTGTGTGCCAAGCAAGCTCCTTGTTAAAGGCTGGTGTCTCCATTCACTGTGTCCCAGCTGCTGTCAGTGTGCATCCAGCTGCTGTTGAGTTCAAGTGTTTTGGTCGGGGGATGTAAATGAGTTCTGGAATCATTTCCATTTGAAGCTCTCAATGCATGCGATTCATCATTGATTAACTGGAGTCTTTTCTCACCGGAAGTAAAGTCTGTGGGGAAACCAGAGCATCACTGAGTGCAAGAATGCCGTTCTCACCTTGAATCTCTCTCTCTCTGTCTGTCTGTGTTGGGTTTTCAGAGTTGTGAGAAATGGAGACTGACGTGACAAGCAAGGTGTCCCACTGGCAGCAGAGCTATGTAGACTCTGGGATTCAGTCGGGAATGACGACGACTTCCCCATCACTGAGTGGGAAGGGAAACCCGGAGGATGACCCAGCCGCGTGGCAAAGCGGAGGATATACAGTCACCACGACCACCTACACCATGCCCCAGCAGCTAGGTATGTGTCTGCTCTACCTGGTTCCCATAACACAACATTATAGGGAAGGGGGAGAAAAGGTTAGTGGAAGGAGACTCATCGGCTTGGAACATTTGGGTAAAGATAAGCGCTCCATTATAGGAAGCGTTGAACAATAATGGAAAAGCTGTACCGTGTTCACTGGATATTGAGCAAGTTTCAGTTCAATTGTGAAGACAGGCTGACACTCCAGTGCAGTGCGGGGGGAGTGCTGTATTGTTGGAGGTGCCCCCGATCAGATGAGACAGGGAAACAAGGTGCCACTTGCCTGTTCAGCAGATGTTAAAAATCCCATAGTACTATTGGAAAAGAGAAGGGAGTTTCACTCTCTCCTGGCCATAGAATTATTCAGCACAGAAGGAGGCCATTCGGCCCATTGTGTCTGTGCCGACTCTTTAAAAGAGCTATCCAATTTAATCCCACTCCCCTGTTTTCTACCCATAGTCCTGCAAATTTGTCCTCCCCAAATATCTATCTCCCTTAAAAGTTGTTATCGAATCGGCTTCCACCACCCCTTCAGGCAATGTATTCCAGATCTGAACAAACTCACCGAGTGAAAAAAAATTCTGGCCTCCCCTCTGGTTCTTTTAGCAACTGTTTTAAATCTGTGTCCTCTGGTTTCCGACCCACTCACCAGTGGAAATAGTTTCTCCCTGTTCACCCTATCGAATTCCCTCATAATTTTGAACGCCTCTATTAAATCTCCCCGTAACCGTCTCTGCTCCAAGGAGAATGATCCTAGCTTCTCTAGTCTCTTCTCATAACTGAAGGCCTTGACATCCTTCTTGTGGTGCCCAGAACTGAACAGAGTCTCTAGCTGAGGCCTAACCAGTGTTTTATAAAGGTTCATCAACTTCCTTACTTTTCTTTACCCTATTTATAAAGCCTAGTATCCTGTATGTTTTTTTTAACAGCTTTTTCTACTTGTCCTGCCAGCTTCAAAGATTTACTATATGAACCCCCAGGTCTCTCTGTTCCTTCACCCCCTTTAAAGATTGTACCATCAGCTGATATTGCCTCTCCTCATTCTTCCTCCCAAAATTCATCACTTCGCATTTCTCCACATTAAACTTAATCTGCCACGTGTCTGCCCATGTTACCAGTCTGTCTATGTCCATTTGCAGTCTGTTACTATCCTCCTCACCGTTTACCACTTTTCCTAGCTTCCTACACACACGTTTGTCCAGGACACATGAAGCAGTTCCTACATGGCACACAATGTGCATGCAATGGGTTTTAGCTGTCCTGCCATATTCCCAGACATTTTTTATATTAATTACTTCATAATTAAATAATTCCCACTCTCACCAAATTCGTGCACAGAATTCCCACTCAGTTGGCTCTTGCAAGTCTTCCCCTTTATAAAGGTCTCAGACGCACCCAGTTTCAACTGGTCAACAAATTAACTAATCCCCCAACACCTGGTCTGTGACTAACTGCCAATTTGACTTGTTTACCTGAAAAGTTCTCTCTTTCTCAAGAAAGAATTCCAACTCTTTCGCTGAAAGAAAGCATTCTCTCTTGCTCTCTAGTTTCTAATTTCTCTCTTGCTCACGAATCGCCACCTGATGGAGATCAAGCTGCTGAAGGGTATTGTTAGGGGCAATAGTAATAGATTATTGTGGCATGTTGGCATCAGTAATAAGGGCACAAATTAAAGAGGGATCACAAAAGGAATTAAAATCTTCAAGAGTGCCTGAAAACATGAAATTCTCTCGTCACAAGGGTCCGTAAATTCTTTTAAAGGGAATTGTATATTTGAAGAAGAATGTTAAAGGGGTGCAGAGGTGGAAGCAGAGCAGTGGGGTTAGACTTGTGGAGTGGGGGGGAACACGAGTGCAGTCTTAGCTGGCTTTCTGTGCTGTAACATTGTGAGATTCTGCAATTTTTGTTTGGTTTTGTAAATCAGTAATTGGTTTAGTGACACAAATGCATGCTTTGTGGACAATGTGACTAGTGATATTGAACAGTTCCTAATCCATGTGTGAGTCCCTCTATAACTGCTCTCTTTCCTATTTATTCTCTTGTTCTACTAGAACTGGAAGATAAAATGTCATTGAGTCGTGCAAACCGCTTGCGAGAGGCTATGTTCCCAGAAACGCTGGAGAAAGGCACTTATATCCTGTCCACTCAGACCGAAGCCAGCCAGCAGACAAACGTACAGAAGCTGTCCGAACCTTCTCAGATGCTAAAGGCTGCGATCGTGCAACTCATCAATTACCAGGACGACGCTGAGCTGGCCACACGTGCTATCCCTGAGCTCACCAAACTGCTCAATGATGAAGACCAGGTACCGACCACTTCATCAGCTGCACTTATCCATGAGGCTGAGCGCAAGCTGCTTCCTACTAATCTTGACGGGTTTGTGTTTAATCACAATGGAAAGTATTTCATAATAATACAAATAATAAACCTCGCATTTGACATGGGCTTCATCACGCCTTTCAGATGTCAAAGCGCTTCTCAGAATATACTGTAAAGTGAATAGACTGTATATTTTGTGGGCAAAATGCAGCGGCAAATTGCGCACAGCAGCGTCCCACAAACAGTTGTGGATTGAGTGACCAAATTATTAATTTTTTTTTGAGGGATTATTACCCCCAGAAAAGCGATCCACCAATCGACTAACAACCAGGTTCCTGCTTACTGCTAGGTAAACAGAAGTGTGTGGAGTGAGGAAATTTGCCTAACGTTTTGCCCTGCCCGGGAATCAAACCTGGATCTTCTCGCTTGCAAGCTGAGTTCTCTAACCACTAAGCTACAGGACTCCGCAGAGTCTGTAGACTGTGCGCTGAGGTCTATCTAACCACCTGGCGATAATGCAATTAATATTTTTTTTCTCTCTTTGCAGGTTGTGGTGAGCAAGGCAGCCATGATTGTCAACCAGCTATCTAAGAAGGATGCCTCGTGCCGTGCCCTTGTGCAGTCTCCCCAGATGGTTGCGGCGGTCGTCCGTACGATGCAGAACACAAGCGACATGGAAACGGCTCGATGTGCGGCCGGCATTCTGCACAACCTCTCACACCACCGGGAGGGCATGCTTGCCATATTCAAGTCTGGTGGGATCCCTGCCCTGGTCAGGATGTTGAGGTGTGTGTGTGTGTGAGAAAGAATCAGAAGCTAATTCCATTTCTTTTCAGAGCACAGTGGAACCCTGTTAATGCAGGTAGTTGGGATCCATAAAAACCCTTAAGTTAAGCGCTCAGATTCTGCCCCTTTGTGAGAGGTGCTGTAAGTGTAATCATAAACTTTGAGAGGCGACCACCTCCATATTCGTCCAGCTTCGCTGGCTCTCCAACCTGCAGAGGATAGTTTAAATTCCTCATCTTCAAGGCACTCCACACCCTGAATCTGTGACCTCCTAAAGCCCTACCAACTTGTCTGCTCCCTCCGCTCGGTGGATGCTGGTCTGCTCCACAACCGGATGTCAAGCCTTTAGACTTTCTGGCCCCACCCTTTGGAACTCCAGCCTGGAACATGTCTACCTCGCCCCCTCCCTTGCATCCTTCAAGGCCCGTCTCAAGACCTTCCTCTTTGACCATACCTTCGGTCATCTTCTAACCACTGCCCTTGCCCTCCTCTCCTAACTCCAAACCCCAGCTCAGGTCCAAAAAAGCCTTCACTGTCCAGAAACTTGGGACGTCCTCCCGACGTGAAAGGCGCTGTATAAATGCAATCTGTTGTTGTTGATAGCCAGTTTCAATGAGCACAAGTGCAGCTGATTACTTTGCTCCTTGCTTTCTTGGGTTTTGACTGACGCACACCAGTCGAGAGACCTCTCACAATGTGACTGGCGTGATCGCAACTGGGTTATTTCTCACTTTGACTGCTGTAGCCCGGGATCTGCTTGCCCTGTGACTATTCTAGCTGTTGACAGGCAGCTTAACACTCTATAACAGAGTCCATAGCCTTTTTATTTGAAGTCTCCAAACTTTCTTTCCTCTCCTCATAGTAGTAATAATAAATAACAATCCTTGCATTTGATATAATGCCTTATCATGTTGTTGAGACGTCTCAAAACACGTCACAGAATATACAGTCAGTTCACTTTACAGTATACTCTGTGAAGCGCTTTGAGATGTCTCGAAGATATGAAAAGGCGCTATAGCAAATGCAAGAATTATTATTATTAATATACCATAAAGTGGCCCCTGCATTTTGTTGGTGAAACACGGCAGCCAATTGCCCACAGCAGAAAACTGCTACAGAGGAGGGTTTCTTTTCCCTGCATTTCTCATTTATGTTAAGCCTTTTTCTCTACATCTTCTATTCTCGCTTGGAATCTGCTGCTTTCCAAATTGCAGAAATCTTCTTTCAAAACAAATCCAGTTCTCCAAAATCTCATGGCTGCCTTGTGCTCTGTTTAGGCCACAACATTTTGAGGCTAGAGTTTAGCAGAGTAACTTTCTAATCACATTTATTACTTTGCTTGGATGTTAGTCCATTTCCTATTTGCCTCATTCATCAAAGCTAATTGACATTTTATAAATCGGGGATTCCAATTTCTCCTCTTTTAATTGAGAGCATAACCATTTTCTTGCTGGAGTCGCAGATTTATAGTGGGATGTGCATCTTTATACTATTGCTGGTTTCCTTTCATTGAGAAACCAGATTTATGGAGCTCCGGATGACGCTTGTTCACCATCTGGAAGGTGTCCAAGTGCCTGTCCCTGATCAGTGCCCCAGACAACGGAAGACACATTTGAGTTCTAATTAATTCAGCTGCTCAGCTCCAAGTTAACTCTTTCTATACATTTTTAATTTGCACCTTTTAGAATCTGGATGTTTAAGGCAAGAACAAGGTTGTTTCGCCCATCATGTCTGTGTTACTCTTTTAAGGAGAAGTCATAGAATCTTACAACACAGAAGGGAGGCCCTTCAGCCCATTGTGCCTGTGCCGGCTCTTTGAAAGAGCTACCAACTAGTCCCACTCCCCCGCTCTTACCCCAACTTGTCCCCACTCCCCCGTTTTTACCCCAACTAGTCCCCACTCCCCCGCTCTTATCTCAACTAGTCCCGACTCCCCCGCTTCAGTTTCAGTCCCATTTGTGGGTCTGGTGTGTTTGGTTTGCTAATGGTTTCCCTTTGTTTACTGCAGCTCTCCGGTGGAATCGATTCTCTTCTACGCCATCACGACTCTGCACAACCTGCTTCTTCATCAGGAAGGAGCGAAGATGGCCGTGCGCTTAGCTGACGGACTGCAGAGAATGGTTCCTCTGCTGAAGAAGAGCAACGTCAAGTTCCTGGCTATCACCACCGACTGCCTCCAACTGCTGGCCTACGGCAACCAAGAGAGCAAGGTTAGATTGGGGGCTTGGGTGGTGATCCCAGTCCCTCTCCATGGGGTGGGGGAGCAGTGGGGAGAGGTAGACAATGAATTAGGAGGAGAACTAAGTTACAGAATTAGCCTGGAACCTTTATTTGAGGTAGCTAGTCAAAATAATAAATTAATAATAATTTGCAAATAATAATGTAATAATAATTTAATAATAATCCTTGCATTTAATATAGAGCCTTGTCACATCTTCAAGACGTCTCCAAGCGCTTCACAGAATATACTGTAAAGTGAACTGACTATTTTGTGGGAGAAACTCACTGCTCTGACCACTCCTAATTACTGGCTGACTTTTGGTCACGATATCAACAAAAGATACATTTGCAGTTTTTTTAATAAAAAAATACTGGAAATGTAAGGGAGTGAGAATTTAATAATCTGCTTTAAAAGCACATAAACGATGAGGTCGACACAAGCTTGTTTCTGAGTAAACCCAGAGTGTAACTAGGACCACATGTGATTTGGAAATTAGTGGAAAATATAACGTTGCAGTTGATACCAGAGGAATTACTTACTCTGATAAATATTTGGCTATGGATTTCATATATAGCTGCATGGTAAATGGGGAAAGGACTTTGGTGTTTAAGATAATGGAATGGTTTTTTTTGAGAGATTTTAATTGTGGAAAGCTCTGCTGGTCGGAATTCTAGGACAAGAGAGTGGGAATTCATCAAGAACAACTTGCCGGTCACGCAGGGTAGTGTCCCTGAGTGCTTGACAGCCACTGAGCCGGGGGAGGTGACTGTAGGTATGATCAAAGAGGAAGGTCTCTAGACTTGACCTGAAGATGGGGAAGGAAGGGGCAAGGCAGCGAGATAGAGCAAGAGTTCATGATTGTGGCTCAGGAAAGGAGGAGAGGTTGGGAAGCATCTCTCCCAGGGGGATGTCAGGAATGATCTTCGAGGAGTTGCTGTTGGAGGGAGTCGATTTGGACACATCATAAAGAGATTTGGACAAGGACATTAGTGGGGACAGCAGAAGAGCAAGGAATTGGGATTATAGAACGGTGGCTTCTTGGAGAAGCAAACACTGATGTGAATTAAAATGGCCTGCTTCACTTCTGTGGTAGCCGAACACTCTTTGTTTGACCCCAACTTTCTTGACTTTGCAGTTCTGTACTTTCCACAAGACGAATGCAGTTTTTTGGGCAAAGGAAAGCGGTTTGGCTTATCCATGCCAGGCTTGGTTAGATTAGTGGTGAGGATGTTTTCTCAATCTGTGTAACTAGTGTTTTTTTTCCTCTCTCTCTCTAGCTGATTATCCTCAGCAACGCAGGCCCGGCTGCTCTTGTTCAGATTATGAGGACCTACAATTATGAGAAGCTCCTCTGGACGACGAGTCGTGTCCTCAAGGTTCTGTCGGTCTGCCCCAGCAACAAGCCTGCCATCGTGGAGGCCGGTAACTAGACCTTACTCAAACCTGGCTTGCACGCTCGCACCCACACATTAACCCCACCTATAGAACATAAGAATTTTCAAGGTGAAAAAAACCCAAGGTCCATCCAACTTGCCTTCCACCATCCTGGCAGTCGCTTGACATGTTGGGTCCCAAACTGTATATTGTATTCCAAGATATTATTTCCTAGCAGAAATCGATCTAATTTGTTCTTGAAAGAATCAACACTTTCTGTTTCCACCGTCTCCATAGAGAACCTGTCCCATACATTGACAAACTCGCTCACTGAAGTAGTATTTCCACAGATTTGTTCAAAATTTACCCCCCTTCAATCACAGAACTTCTCTCTATGTTCCTGGGAACCCTGACTCCAGGACTTGAAATGGCGCAGATTTGCTACTGGTTTCCATGAACGCAGGAATCACAGGTTTTGCCGTCTTCTTTGTGTTGGGATCTGGAACTTTATTGAACATAGAAACAAGAGTAGGCCATTCAGCCCCTTGAGCCTATTCTGCCATTCAGCCCCGCGATCAAGATCTATTAGATCATGGCTGATCTGTACCTCATCTTCAGTTACCTGCCTTTGACCCATATTCCTTGATACCCTGACCTAACAGAAATTAAGAGTGTGTGATCAGGTTATACCTGCTCAGCATCACATCAGGGCAGTGCTGAGCTGGTGTGGAGGCTCCAGGTCTTTATTGGGAGCAGATTTTCAGTCCACATAACAATGGTTTGCTTTTTGTGGGCAGGTGGGATGCAGACCCTGGGATTTCACCTCGCCAGTAACAGCCCACGCTTGGTTCAGAACTGCCTGTGGACTTTGAGAAATCTCTCCGATGCTGCTACAAAACAGGTGAGATGGGACAACAACAAATTATATTTGCGTTGATGGGGGTAACAGTCACTGTTAATCAACGATCTGACCAAAACCACGGTTAAAGAGTCGGGCTTGGAAATCGGGGAGCAAGGGGGTGAAATAATATTAATATTTACTGGGGGTGGAGATTGGGCACAATGGTGGTTAGAGGTGTTACTTGGACAGGTTGGGAGAGGGAATCGATACAGAAGGTGTGTGTGAGAGATGGGGATCATGTGTGGGTGTATCTCATACAGTTTTTATTGGACTACAGGAAGGATTGGAAGGTCTCCTCTCTACGCTGGTCGAACTCCTCGGCTCGGATGACATTAACGTGCTGACCTGTGCCACCGGCATCCTCTCCAACCTCACCTGCAACAACGCCAAAAACAAGATGGTGGTTTGCCAGGTGAATGGCATCAATGCTCTGGTCCACACCATCCTGAGGGCAGGAGAGAAAGAGGACATCACGGAGCCCGCTGTGTGTGCACTCAGGCATCTCACCAGCAGGCATCCGGAAGCAGAGATGGCCCAGAACAGCATACGCCTTAACTACGGTATTCCTCCCATCATGAAACCGCTCAATCAGCCCTTCCACTGGCCCCTGGTCAAGGTAAGTGATCACTCGCTCAGTCAGCCCGTACTCCTTATGCCTCAGCACTCTCCCACCTGCATTTAAAAGGCATCAGACGGGGGCACGTGTAGAGGAAGAGAACTAATGCTTAAATTGGCGGGTACTGAGAGAGAGCAGGGGATTAGGACACAAGCAGTTGCTGGAAATCTGAAATAAAAATAAGTCGCTGGGAACACTCAGCAGATCAGGCAGCATCTATGGAGAGAGAGAGAGAAGTGATGTTTCAGGTCAATCACAGACTGCCTCGGTGGAGACACTAATAGAATGGGTTGAATGGCTTCCTACTGTAAAAGTGGGAAAAGTGGTATTTCCAGGCTAGCTCAGCCATCGACGTAGTTTTGTCTCTCTGGACAAATGTGTTTCATCAACAGTTATAATAATGATATTAATAATCCTTGCATTTGATATCGCAGGTTATCACGTCTTTGAGACGTCTCAAAGCACTTCACAGAATATATTGTAAAATGAATTGACTATATTTTGTGTGTGAAACATGGCAGCCGATTGCACACAGCAGCGTCCTACAAACGGTCGTGGATTGAGTGACAATTTTTATTTTTTTTAAATTTTGAAGGAATTGTTATCCCCGGAAAAGCATTCGACTAACTATCGGGTTATTACTTACTGCTAGGGAAAAACAGGTGTGTGGAGCAAGGAAACTTACCTAACATTTCTCCCTGCCCGGAAATCAAACCCAGGTCCTCTTGCTTGCGAGACAAGTGTTCTAACCACTACGCTACAGGACTCCATCATTATATAGTGCAACAGGTTGGACTTGTTGATTGTGTTGCCCTTTCGTTCACCTGTTCTGCAGTGTCAGTTCAGCTGCTGTGGCTCTGGCTCTTGTCCAGCCAGTGCCTCGTGTAAATGCCAGTGTTTTCCAATTGGAAAGGGATTAGTTGTACAGTGTTCCAAGTCTGGGAGGGCTGGGGTGGGGGGGTGTGGAAGAGGAGCACATACACCGCATCAACTTGTCACCGCATGTTGGCCGGGTGAGGTGTGGGGGTGGAGAGGTTGATGCAGGCAAGTCACTAGTTTGTAAATGTTGTGAACGGTACCCAATTTTTGCTTCTCCTCAGGCCACGGTGGGGCTGATCCGGAATCTGGCTCTTTGCCCTGGTAATCACGCTCCCCTGCGAGAGAACAACGTGATCCAGAGACTCATGCAGCTGCTGGTGAAAGCTCATCAGGACGCTCAGCGTCAGGCTTCCGGTGGGGGACAGCAGCAGTACATGGTAGGTAGACCCCACATCTGTGTGAGTGTCCGTGTGTGTGGGTCCATTCACATTTTCAAGACTGAGGTGGAAAGATATGTAAAAGGCAAAATACTGCAGATGCTGGAAATCTGATATGCAGCAGCAGGTCAGGCAGCATCAATGGAGAGGAAAGTGAGATTACATTTCAGGTGGATGACCACTGGAGCTCAGTGGGATGGTAGGTAAGGGCTGCTGGTAATGAGTGGAGAGGTATATATTAGGTCAGGATATCAAGGGATATGGGGCAAGAGCGGGTAATTGGAATTGAGGTACAGATGAGCTATGATCTTATAGAATGGAGGAACAGGCTCGAGGGGCCGAATGGCCTCCTCCTGTTCCTATTAATGCTTTGTTGACCAAGGCAATCTGTACTAATGGTCCTGTTCCTCTTTCTCCTTTGCACCCCCACAACCAACCACTGCACGCAGGATGGAGTGAGGATGGACGAGATTGTTGAGGGCTGTACGGGGCGTTACACATCCTCGCCCGCGATCCACAGAACCGGGCCACCATCCTCCAGCTAAACACTGTGCCGCTATTTGTACAAGTAAGTAAGCTTTCTCCCCCTGTGCCCCCCCCCCATTCCCACCGTGTTAGCAATGAGATATGAGCTGAATCCCTGCAGCCTGCACATGGGGAGATGTGGAAAAAGAATGGAATTTGGATCTCAAAAGGCCTTTTTTTCCCTCTCCCTCTTGTTGGAGGTCCTTAACCAGGGGACACGAGCATGAGATGCTGACTGTGGTAATCGAAAAAGCAAATTAGGCTAAACTTCACACACAGGTGCAGCGAGACTGTGGAACCTGGTGGTTGAAGCAGATCGTATAGATTCATTTATACAATCTTACAGCACGGAAGGAGGCCATTCGGTCCATTGCCACCAACTAGTCGCACTCCTCCCCCACTCTTTTTATTTAATTTTTTATTTAAGCAAACAGAAGGGTGTGGGAGGGAGTAGAGAATGGGTTGATATGCGTGTGGAGTATAAAGGACCGAGTGGCCTGTTTCTGTACAGTCTGTAATTTTCTGTGTTGTTGTTGTGGCTTCAGGTCGGATTCTAATGATCCCGTTTTTTTTCTGCTCTAACTCGGATCTGAGTTGAGATACAGATCTGCCGTGATCTAATACAGAGCCACCAAAAAGTCCTGATACCATTACAGTATCTAATAAAGTCTTAAAGGAATGATGATTTTTTGTTTGCTTGTTTTTAGATAATGTGGGGTAGATATCACGACTTTTTGGTTACCCTGTAGAATGGAGGAACAGGCTCGATGGGCTGAATGGCCTCCTCCTGTTCCTCTGTGGCTAATGACCACTGTTGCCTCTCCCCAGCTCCTGTACTCTAACGTTGAGAATATCCAGCGTGTGGCCACCGGGGTGCTGTGTGAGCTGGCACAGGATCGGGAAGCAGCAGAAATCATCGACGAGGAAGGGGCCACATCCCTGCTCACAGATATGCTTCACTCCAACAACGAGGGCATCGGTAAGGGCTATGTTATTATTGGGAGGGGGGATTAAGCTGGGTGTCTGACGCACACGGGAGCCCATCACCATGCCTCAAGAGTATCCAAACCAATTTGAGATTTCCATGTATAATAATAATAATAATCCTGGTATTTGATACAGCGCCTTGTTACGTCTTCGAGACGTCTCAAAACGCTTCACGGGATACACTGTAAAGTAAATTGACTGTACATTTTGTGGGCAAAACACAGCAGCCAATTGCATGAAACTGATTCACTCTCCATTCCCACAAAGTTTCACCCACAAAACATACAGTCAATTCACTTCACAGTATGTTCTGTGAAGTGCTTCGAGATATTTCACCTTGGGATGTCCTCCCGACGTGAAAGGCGCTATACAAATGTAATTTTGTTTCAGTGACGCTATATCAAGCACAATGATTATTATGATTCACTCCATTCCCACAACATCTGGATCCTTCTCTTCTACTTCCCGGGGAAACATTTCCCAGAATCGTGAAGAAAGACTTGAGTGAAGGCGAATGGGTTGTTGGGATCTGGCTGCCCTGTAGTTATTGCCACAAACATCCCAGGTGAATGGCTTTCTCGGCACTTGGGTGTTTGTATATGGTCTCTGACCCCATGTCTGTGCCCTGACCCAGGCAATAGCTAGTCTGTCCCTGGATGTGGTGTACGTACACCCTGCTGGGGCTTTCGTAAGGCAGGATGGGACGCAGCAGCTGGTTTAACACTTTCACGTGGAAAGAACATCTGAAATTGCATCACGGTTACCAAAGGGAATGGGGTAGGAAGAATTTGACTGTTGACTAAACCACAGGCAAGGTTTGATTATAAGAAGGGTATTGAAGGAGAGAGAGCAATTTAGGGAAAGAGTTCCTCATTCTGAACAAACACTGAAGGCCTTGGTTGTTGATGGAGGGAGTGAGGAATGGGCAGTGATTGTCTCAGAGAGTGACTGAGCGTGGGAGGAGAGGACATCCCAGCAACTGGACTGGGAAAGGGCAGAGATCACAACACATTGTTCAGGACAAGGAGACCCTTGTCTGCACATCAGTGGCTGGAACAGAGGAGAGCCTGAGGAGAAACCGGGCTTTATCCGGCCCAGCCATCAGTCATCACAGCCGCTGTCAATGCCCGGCTCAGTCCCCAGCACCCGACTCTGAGTAATGGTGATGCCGGGGATCAGCATTGATTTCCATGTAAACGGGAAGTGATGTTCTCACACCACAGGTTAGACATAAGGTCACTGTTCATAGTTTTGACGATGGAGAGAAAGTGTGTGTAAAATATATATTTTTTGGTCAGTCAGATGTCTGACTCATACGGAATCCCATCCCCATTGCTTAAGAGTATCCAAACTAAGCTGAGAATTCCAATTACACATTGAAATCCCTGAGATAGATTGTTGGACTGGAATGCGACTCTCTCTCTCCCTGGAGGGACGCTTCCTGCTTATCTAATTCCGAAAGTATTAGGTGCAGGTTCAAGACTTGGGGACCCCAGAGTGTACGTTGGGGTAACTGCTGGAGTCTAACCAGCTAAAACACCACAGCTTGCCATTGATATCCCCATCTGGTAAGCTTTCCAGCTGGGACCACCCTATCCATTAGGGCTTTGACTTGCAGTGTAAAGGGAAGAAATTTTGACAGATTTGAGACAAGGGTGTAAGCGATGAAGACTGAATCACTGATAAAGGTGGGACAGGGAGTGAGGCACATTAGGAGATTGTATCTAGTAGATTTAGTTGCAGGCAATTTAACATAAGGTCTATTGACTAGATTGACACTATTGAAGCACATGTCCACTTGCCAAAGTGACATTTCTCAGTCTTATATTTTTAAAAATCCTCTTGTTTACTGGCTCCGCAGTGCTTTTCCTCACTCACTGAGTGTCTGGCAAGGATCACTCTTCCTATTGGAGCTTGGTCTTCATGCAGAAAGTTTCTGATCTCATCCCTCCGGCAGCTAATAGAACAAGTAACGCTGCTCTTACTCTGTGTGTTGGCCTCCAGAGGCAAGCCCATCTCTGGAGTCAGACAGCATCTGATATAAACTGGCCTGAAGAGTTTTCTTTTTTTCCTCAAACCCTATTTGGAGTTTGTCTCCCCGTGTTTCCGGATTAACAATGAAGAAAGTTGACGTTGAAGTGACGAGACACGGCCACTATTCTCTTACATCTTGATATAATTAGGTAACACTTCTGTTACTGCGACCTGAATAACTATGAGGAGAAAAAGGCCGGAATTCCAAGTTGTTTGTGCGTCTCTGGCCTGTCAGGGTTTTGCTGTATTATTTCCCAGCCCAGTGGAGACCGATCACTGCAGTCCTTTTTGTTGTTTGTTTCTCACAGCCACATACGCTGCTGCTGTCTTGTTCCGTATATCTGAAGATAAATCCCCGGATTACAGGAAAAGGTTGTCGGTTGAGTTGACCAGCACGCTCTTCAGGAATGATCCGGAAGCCTGGGATGCGGTACGTACCCAATCTCTGTACCTTGACCAATGCCGGGTTTCGCTATGTGACCTTTGAGCCTGGAGAAGGTGTGATGGTTTGCAGTGGGGGGGAGGAGGGCAGGGAATATTTACAGCAGTTTGATGGGGAGAAGAGTCTTGTAGGAAACAATGACAACTTGCATTTATGTAGTGCCCTTCACACAGGGCAGCGTCTCGCAGAGCTTAACAGGGCGGAGCACAACACCAAGCCTGGGGTGGGAGGAGGTGACCGTAAGCACGGTTGAAGAGGAAGGTCTTCAGTTAGAATGAGGGGGCAAGGCAAAGGACTGAGGGAGAGAGTGCCAGAGTGTGACTGAAAACGTGGCCACCGATGGTGGGGTAGAGGGGACTTGGTGCGAACAGGAGGCCAGAGCCAGCCAAGTGGAGGGAAAGGAGAGTGGGGTGAGAGCAGTTTGGGAAGGTGGGTGGGTTGCTAGTGGGTGAATGGAATTTGTAGAGTGAAGGAAGCCTGTTGCTGCCATGTTAACCTGCTTTACTTTCTCACTCTCTAGGCTGAACGTATGATGGCTGCACAGAACGAATCATACCATGACGGTGAGTGCATCAAATGTTGCTTTATCTCTTCCTCCACAGCTCTTTACTTAAACTTGAGATGTCCGATGATGTGATAATGCCCTCCTCACCGGTCTCCCTAGCTCCACTCTACACAAAATCCAGTTAATCCAAAACTCTGCTGCCCACATACTCACCCACACTAAATTCCGTCCCCTTATCACACCAGTCCTTGGCAGGCTCCACTGGCTTCCTATCACTGAATGGATCGATATTAAGATCCCTCACCTGTCTTCAAATCCCTTCATGCCCTGCCACCTCCCTACCTCTCTGACCTGCTTTATTCCCAATCCACCATCTGTTACCTCTGCTCAACTGGCTCCGGCCTCCTGCATGTTCCTCATGCCTCTGTTCCAATATTGGTGGCTGTGCTTTCAGACACTATGCCCGAAACTCTGGAACACTCTCCCTCAACCTCTCCGCCTTGCCCCCTCCTTTCCCATCTTCAGGTCGTGCTTGAAGACCTTCTTCTTCGATCAGTGCCTACTGTCACCTCCCCTCCACCCCCGCCCGGCTTGATGTCGTGTTCTGCCACTGCCAAATGCTACTCTGCGTGAGGGATGTTGTGTCAATGCAAGTTGTTGTTGTTTATCAAGTGCAAGGATAATTAACTTGAATTATCTTTCTCTCTCTCTCTCTCTGAAGTAGATGTTTACCAAACAACAAACTACGGGCCTGCTGACGAGCTGGATCAGGATGGCCAGGATATGGATCCGGAATTCGGGATGGATTTTCAAGGAATACATATGGATACGTACAACAACTTACAGTACCCCGCTTAGGCCACATATGTGTCCTTCTGTAAGGTAGGACTGCTCTCTCTCTCTCAATTGCCTTGTAAAACGTCATCTAATCACTTTAGTACTAAAGGCACAGACTGACCGAGATGTTCTCAGGGCTTCAGTTATAAAGAGAATTGGCAAGTGGAGGCTTTCCCACCAGCACTGAACTAAGAAGGTTTGAAAAGTGTCTTGATAGAGATCTACCACCTAGAATTCTGCAGCACTGTGTCCTCTCCTGCTCCAGACCTAACTCTTTCGCCATCCTCTAGTGGATTGAATTCTAGATCCTCCTCCTTGCCTTCAAGTCCCTCCATGTCCTTGCCTCACCTGACCACTGCGATCGCCTGCAACCCACTGACCTGGTCGTTGCCTCCACTCAGTTGAGACTAGCCTGCTTAACGTCCCCCGCTTAAACCATTGGTGGGTGAGCTGTCAACTATTCTGCCCTGCCTTCTTGAACTCCCCCATCGTCCTCTGCTTTGCCCCCTCCCGGCCTTCAACAAATACTTTTTGACCCAAGATTTCAGCCACTCTCTCCCTTTTTCTGTGCCCCCCCCACCAGAGTGGCTGGGACGCCTAAACTCGTCAGCTGTATGTTGGGCTTTGAGAAGTCCTTCTGATATAAAAGGCACTGTTTTTAATATAAAATGTAGTTGTCGCTCTGCACGATTGGCTGCCACGCTTCGCCCACAAATGTAGTCAATTCATTTTGCGGTGTATCCCGTAAAGCGCTTTGAGATGTCTCGAAAACATGATAAGCCGCTGCAAAAGCAAGTAGTAGTATTCTGTGATGTTAGCTGCTCTGTGTGGAGTATAACTGTGATCCTGATTGTAGCTGCTCATGTGGAGTCTCTGTCTGATTGTGTTCTTTCTCTCTCTGGTTCTCTCTCCCTCCCCCACCCCCACCCCCCCACACAAACACAGAGCGTCTGACTGCAAAAGTGGATGTTTCAGGACCGATTGGGACGAGCGTGTTTAATGGAGTGCGTGAGAGAGTCATGTCATGGCTATGGGGTAAAGTGCCTAATACGCAGTGACAAGCCTGTGGGAACAATTATCCAAATCTCTTCATGTGGGCGGGCCTAACAAACCAGAATTTCGGTGCCGGATGATTTTTGGAGCTTGCACTCATTCCACCTTTATATAAAGACTCGTCTGCCTTTTTATAAACTGCTTCTAATACAGGCTTTACATTAAAAAAAGTAACCTTTTATTTGAGAACCCGCCCCCACCCCCTCATCTATGTTCTGTATATTCAAAATTGCGTTTTGCCAAAGTTTTAGAAAAAAAAACATCATCTATATACAGATTTGATTATTTTAGCCTTTAGAGGTTTAGATCGCAACTTACTCAAAACTAAAATAAGTACTTTGTGGACTTAAGTTTTACCGGTTAACACATTTGATAACATTGCCCAAGGTCTCTGTGACCTGTTTAATTGTTAGTCGTCTGGAGTCACTAGAACAATGAGGTCTGGAAATCGGCCAAAATTTTCATTTCACTAAATATCGCGAAGGTTGTGTCCCAATCTGCAACATTCACTGCAAAGGAGAACAAGCGTGCTGGGGTGGGGTGGGGTNGGGGGGGATTGCTGAGATGCGGGTGTAGGGGATGGGGCTACAGTAAAGTACCAATAGAGCTCACTTCTCTCTGATTCTTACTCTCTGATTCTTGTGGGTGGCGTTTTGTGGATTTTATTCTGCTGTAACTTTTTTTAAAAAAAATAAATAGTTTCCTCTTAGGATAATTTTTTTTTCTCTCTCTCTCTGGAATTGTAAATGTATTTGGCTGTATGATGATGCCGGTCATTCATACACATGTTATTTTTTTTTGGAAGGAACCAGGTTTAATCCTGTTAAGGTTTTTTTTGTAAAAAGCAAATAAAATACAATTTAAACTGAAGTTGACTCATTTTTATACAGTTGTGTTTGGGTTGTTTATTTTGGGGTGGGGTGGGGCGGAGGGAAGGAAGGATCAATAAACATTTGAGTGTGGTTCCCCCAGGCAAACTCTGGCTGTGGGTTTGGCTCTGATTTGCTTATGTCTGAAGAATTAAGTTTGAGGTTATCTTCTCTCTCCCTCCTTCCCTCCCTTCCTTGAGGCAAGGAAGAGGGAAACGAGCATGACTGCTTTAATTATAGAGCAGCAGGGACATGAAGAGAGAAACTGGAATGTTTACCAGAGGCTTCATGTGAAACTGTCTCCAGGCGCTCCACAGGTAATTACTGTCAAGGGCAGTGACCTGGTCTTTGTAAATCCTCTGCCCTTCCATTTACGCCAGGAAAGCCTTACAAACAGCCATGAAGTCGGTGACCAATTTAATCTGAATGCTTGTTGGCCTGGAGATGGGGGGTGGGGGGGACTCCCAACGTTTTAAGAGTCATGGGCTCTTTAACATTCACCTAAACCAGTGGAGATCCTGGGTAATAATATTAATAATCCTTGTATTAATTCTTTAATTTAATATAGTACCTTATGTTGAGACGATTCAAAGCGCTTCACGGTTAGGGTTAGGTTACTGTAAAATGGATTGACTGTATGTTTTGTCAACGAAACGTGGCAGCCAATTGTGTAGAGGCAGTGTCCCACAAACCAGTCATTTTAGTAATTAATGGCGTATTTAAAGGATGTCTCCTCCAACAATGCAATGTTTTTTTTTATAAATATATGTATACAGACACATACACCACACTCACTCCACCAACTCAACGCCAAGCTATGGGCTTGAGCCCACTACCTTTTGAGCAGGGGTGAGGGTACTACTGGCTAAGCTGAGCTGGGTTGGAGATTTGCTGGATGCTATTATTGCCCTCCAGCTGTGCCAGCTGATGGTGAAGAGAGTGAGTGACCTTTGGACATCAAGTAAGAGCACCACAGAAGCTTACGACTCAGAGAGCTGACATTTGTGAGTAACTTCAGCTCTGCAAGCTTCAGATCACCCGGATAATCAGTGGCCTTTACCGCTCCCACTGAGTTCACGCTCTGCTTGCTCAGTAGTGATTGCCCCCAAGGCAGCACATCAGATAAAGAAATGTGATTTCTAGCAGAGCCCATGAAGGAACGCTGCTTTATCCTCTTCATTGCTCATCACAGCTGCCAACGGCAATCTGCTTCCTGCTGCAAAGTGTCTCGTCAGTCCAGGAGTTGGGAGACATTCAGATTGGAGCCAGGAGCAGCAGTATTGAGGATTCTACTTGAGTGTGAGACTCCTACCCACCACCCACCCTGACACTGGCTCAGGAGGGAGAGCGTCATTGCCCATTTTGTTTTTGTGGGTGGTGGGAGGGAGGGGAAGGAGCTGTTGCGTTGGTCTGCAAAATACAGAGTTGTTGCACTTTACAGTAAATCCCAGGAAGTGCTTTGAGATGTTTTGACGCTACTATCAATATATTGACTATATTATGATTATCATAATATAATCCTTGCATTTGATATTGCACATTAGCAAGTCAAGTGCGTCACAGAATAAAGTAAAGTGAATTCTTTTGAGTATTTTGTGAGCAAAACGCAGCAGCCAAATGCACACAAAACAGTTGTGAATTGAGTGACCAAATTATTCTTGAAGGGAGTGTTACCCCTGGAAAGTGATCTGTCAATTGATTGATGGCAATCAACAACAATTTGCACTTATATAGTGCCCTCCACGCAGGGTAGCATCTCAGAGCGTCAATCAGTTATTGATCCCCCGATCACAGGACATTTAAACGTTGATGTCTTTCCTCCCTAACCAGGTCGGGAACTCTGAGGTCAATGGTGGCCCTGGCAGTTTGTCCAGCAGAGAACAACTCTCGTACAATCCGCAAAATATTGCTGATGCTGAAAACAAAAACCGACGTCGCTGGAAACACTCAGCAGGTCAGGCAGCATCTATGGAGAAAGGAAAGTGAGTCAACATTTCGGGTCCACGACTCTTCATCAGAACTCAAAGTTCTGAAGGAGTTCTGTTGAAGGGTGGTGGACCCAAAATGTTGACTCACTTTCCTTTCTCCATAGATGCTGCCTGACCTGCTGAGTGTTCCCGGCCACTTCTGTTTTTGTTCTCGTACAATCCTCCAGGTCTGCAGCACTTACTCACTCAGTTATTGACTTCTTGGTGGCCCCCACAGGCCACTTCCGGCCCATGGGCCACAGGTTGCCACCACTGATCTAATACTGTTCCGGTTAGCCAATTAATTAGAACGCTTAGGGGATGGAGGGAGAGTGAGAGAGAAAACAGGAACTGTTACCCACATCGTGCTGAAAGCAGCTTCTCGCACTCCACTTGAGTGAATAAGCGATTGTCAGCTCTGACAAGGTGCCCACGCACGGCTGTTGGCAAACAGGCAAAGAAACACTTCATTGTTTGGAGATTCCTGACTAGAATTCCACAGAGGCCGTGAGGGGAGCGGAGGCGAGCATTTGTGCTCCTGTAGGGAACAAGTGAGAGCAGGGGAGTGGGCGTGTGAGTGTGTGTGAGTGGACTGGAGTACAGCTGCTAGTCGAGGCCCAAGGCCACTGTCAAAGCTCTTTTGTATTTAAACAAATCATAACTGTGAGCCTGGCCACCAGGGTTAGCTCCCTCCCTCACTGGTTCTTGCTGGGCTGTTCCTGGGCAGGGCTCCCACTCTGAGCTCAGGTTGAAAGCTACCCTGGGGTGAGGGGTATATAAATGCAAGTTGTTGTTGAACGCCTTCTCCAAACTTTTTTCTGTTGCTCCAAAGAAATGTGGCCTCCCCTCATCCAAACATTCTAATTAGTGCCTAACTCAGACCCAAAGTTGGTTTGAGCACCCAGTCTAGACCAGTGGTAGCCAACTTTTGGCCCATGAGCCGGAAGTGCTTCCTGTAGGCCCCCCCCACCCACCCCCCAAATATTTGCACAATTCCTCGGAGGTTGTTGGTGTGTTTTCAGCTTTGTTTTTCTTCATTGAGTATTTCTGGAATAAATCAAGATATATTCAATCAAGAACATTTATCGATCTCATTGCCCGACCATTAAGTCGGACACACTGGTCTAGACTGACGCTCCCAGTGTAGTGGTGGAGGGGGCACTGCATAATCCAAGGCTGATTTACACACTGAGCTATGGGATAGAAGTTGGCGGGGTGAAGAGATTGGATTTAGATGCAGTGTAACGCAGGTAATTGGCACTGAGGTTCACATTGTTTATTTGCTATGAACAGTGACCTTCTGTCTAACCTGTAGTGTGAGAACATCACTTCCCGTTTACATGGAAATCAATGCTGATCCCCGGCATCACCATTACCCAGAGCCGGGCGTTTGGGACTGAGCCGGCCATTGACAGCGGCTGTGATGATTGATGGCTGGGCCAGATAAAGTCTGGCTTCTCCTCAGGCTCTCCTCTGTTCCAGCCACTGATGTGCAGACAAGGGTCTCCTTGTCCTGAACAATGTGTTGTGATCTCTGCCCTTTCCCAGTCCAGTTGCTGGGATGTCCTCTCCTCCCACGCTCAGTCACTCTCTGAGACAATCGCTGCTCGTCAGGCTCAGATGTTTTGATGATGAGCTCCTCGCTTTTGTTCCCTCCGTGCCACGCCCTGCTCTCTGTAACTTTTTCCCCAAAAAATTTGTTTCCCTGCTCTCCCTGCCTCCAAGTCAACACCAAGTTGGCTGATGCTTTGGTGAACACTCTCAAATTCCTCCTTCATCCCCTTCCTGCTCGGCCTTCCCCAACGTCTATGAGAAGCACATTTGAGCTGTTCACCATCATAATAATCCTTGACTTTGATACGGTGCCTTATCATGTTCAAAGGACATCTCCAAGTGCTTCACAGGATTTACTGGAAAGTGCAGTGATTGTATTTGTAGGCGAACACAGAACCCAATTGTGCAGAGCAATGTCCCCAAAACAAATAATAATAATAATTATCCTTGAATTTAGTATAGCACCTTATCATGTTGTTGAGATGTCACAAAGCGCTTCACAGAGTATACTGTAAAGAGTTGTGACTGTGTATTTTGTGGGTGAAACATGGCAGCCAACTGTTGGCCAGAACATGGGAGAAACTTGCTTCCTTTTGAGATAATAACAATGCGGGATCTTTTACATCCACCTGAACAGGCAGACGAGACCTTGGTTTAATGTCTCATCCGAAGGACGGCAGCTCTGACAATGCAAAGCACCCCAATTGCTGCTACAAGAAAGAGGTTTTGCACTACAAGAGCAAGCTGATGGGAGACGTGACGACAGGATCTACTCCCAGGGATGGTTTATGGTCTCCAGCCTGTGATTCCTGACCTGCTTTCCCCCGGGGTTACCTTCTGCCAATGCGGAGCCAGCCAAGCACGCCAGGTTCAGAAGTCAGTCACTGGAGCTTTAATGGTTCCATTGATAAAAGCACCGCGGAGAATGGAACTGAGTTAATGGCTGCTGGTCTTGCCTTCAGAAACAGCAATTATTGTGGAATTCTTTGAGGCATTGCACTGTAACAAAGTGCTAAAGAAATACAAGTGCTTCTTCTGCACCTAAATACAATAGTCATTTTTATTTGTGGAGATTTTAAGCGTCACAGTTTAATATTCAGTAATCATAGCTCTGATGGTTTAATGAGTCGTCCTGGCCCCAGTGTGGTTCTGAGCTGCATAAAGTGGCTTTACATCCCCCGCCTTGCTCACCCCACCATTGGCTCCTTCGAGACCTGTCTCAAGACCCTCCTCCTCGACCATGCCTTCGCTTGCCCTCTTATCCCTACCCTCCCCGCCCTCCACCCTCCTGATCCCAACCACCAGCTCGCTGACTGTGCA